ATGGCAGCCAACTGATGTTTGCCTACACTCAATGCCAAGACACTTGGCGACCTTAACTACACTAGCCTACAAACGAAAGGGAAACATAAACAGAAGCCGTGAATAGAGTTTGATGTAGATATAAATTGGTCTGAGCAAGGCATTTAAAGAGAGAAATAGGGAAGATGCTCCATAAACAGGAGACTAGATCGAATCACAATTGCAAGGATCTATCTCCTATCATTCCTGCCTACATATTAAAACCAAGAGTCAGTCTCATTGAATCTATCTTGCTTTCCATTTCGTTCTAGAGTTTAATTTGATGACTGATATAAATTGATTTAAACCTAGCATAAACAAGGAACTAGATCGACATTAATCGGGCTCAAAATTGCAAGGCTCCAAGCCTTATTATTCCTGCCTCCACATTTAAACCTAGATTCACTTCCATTGAATCTCGCTTGCTTTCTCTTCCATTCTAGACTTCCTATACTAACTATTTCCGCATTAAGTCAGCAGATGTAGGTTCTTTATCTTTGGTTACCTTCAACTTTTACTTTGCGTCTATCGAAAAACAACTTTGTGCCCTTAATGCGCTTAACTCATGGATAGATAATGCATTAGGTAGCTCACACAAATTTATCAACGTTGCATGCTAATGCCCTTTCTTCAGATAGTTGTTGTACTATAGATACATTTTGTGTAGCCCACAATTTATGATGCGTATTCTTTCAGCTACCTAAAGAGAACAAAGGCCAGTTACGAATTTATATTTCTATTTCCATGTAGATCTTATGTTGTGCGTATCGATGATCGACATCTAATCCAATGCTAAGTCGCCGCCGATGAACCCGACTGTCCCCTCACCCTCTCTCCCTCTGCCTTTCTTGTAGGTAGCCGTTTTTAGGAGCTCTTCTGTCTTGGGCTTAAATTCCTCGTTGCCTGCATTGAAACATGCGTTGTTCTTGGTTCTTTTTGGGAATGACAATTAATCACCGCAGGAGTCAAAGATGTTCGACGGTTCATGTTCGCTCCTCCCGTTCCCATTCCCGTTCCCGTTTACATTCCCTCAATTCCCTCTATTCCCTATCCCATGGAGGTTGTTCCCATGCCAATGGACCCGGGCTTGTCCTTAAACCAAACCCTTGTTTGTCGAGCTAGAAACATAGTACAGAGGAGGACCGTGGAACAACAGCTGTAAGCTGTAGGTTGCTCAAATTTGTACAGAAATACAACCCCTAAAATTATGACTCTATATTACGTGTGTGCCTATGTGTGTGTGTGTGTGTGTGAGCGTGTGACTTGGAAAGGGTAAATTGTTAAAAAAAAGCCAAACATCGAAGTGTGAGTCGCGTTCAAATCATATTCATTGCATTTGTCAAAGCCTGAGAATTATTTTGAATGTCGCTGCTGGTTTTGTCACTCCGCCCGTCAGTCTGTCAGTCCGTCAGTTTGTCTGTCAGTCAGTCCAGCTCTGAAAGGGGATCATTATATGCCAATTGGCGATTGTTTGTTGCCCACTCGTTAGCTCGACTCGTTACACACGAGGGCGGCCGCATGAGTACCCGCTTCTTGCCAGGATATATTATCCGAATTGCAATTACTCGAAATTAGTGCAACAATTGCTAAGGGAGTTCCCAATTAATTGATTGATTTGTTTGCCACTTAACACAAATCGTGGCTCATTTATGACTATTCCAATGGAATTTGCATAGATTATGCAATTCCTATATAAAACTCATTTTGTTTATGTTTAAAGTTTTTGTAAATTAATGAAGACATTTTTCAAATTGAAATGAAGCTGCAAGTTGTTATGAAATAATTCTTATAAAAGACATTTAACCTTAAGTTTTTTATATATAATTAAGTTTTATTATAATTTTCTTAATCACTTTAATTACTTCCATCTGCAAATTGATGAAGACTTTTTTCAAATTGAAATGAGATTCTTAGTATTTATGAAATAATTCTTATAAAAAGCATTTAACCTCAAGTTTTCTATACATAAATACTTTTTTAATTTTACTTATCACTTAAATCACTTCCATCTTAAATAATTATTATAGAAAACATTTAACCTTATGTTTTCTATATACTTATAATTAGGTACTTTTATAATTTCCTAATCATATTAATTACTTCCATCTGTAAATTGATGAAAACTTTTTTCAAATTGAAATTAGGCTCCAAGTTGTATTCTGATAATTCTTCTAAACAAGATTAAAACTTAATTAAGTACTTTTAGAATTTTTCCTTATCACTTCCATCTTAAATAAATTCTTATAGAAAACATTTAACCTTATGTTTTTCTATATATAATTAGGCACTTTTATAATTTTCCCAATCACTTTAATTACTTCCATCTCGAGTTTCCATTGATAATATAAATTTTCCAAAAAACAAATGTTACGTCAACAAAAATTCGTATCCCACTGAGTTTTTCAGCTCTCCGTTTTTATGGTCTCAATTTGATGGCCACCTTATTTGGCCCCAACCGAAGGTGATTCATTGAGAACTTTTTGGATATTTTTTGAGTGTCGAAATGTGGCAGCTTTTTCTGGTTTCGATTTATTAGATATTTTCCAAGGGGTTAACTCAATGAACAGCCCTCGTTCTTCGGGGGGGTTGGTAATTGCAGTACGCATTTGAATTTCGAATTTCTGTGAGAGTTGAGAATTTGAATTTGAATAACGGTAACATGCCCAAATTATAACTGTAATTGCGCGAGCGTCGCCTGCGCTTTGTGGCATGTAGTACGAGTTGTTGTTGCTGTTGTTGTTGTTGTTGCATCTTTTATCAATGCATTAAGTGCCGCCGCGCACTCATTATGAGGGCCTCCTACCCCCCCCCCCCCCCTCCCCACACACACCACGCCGCCGCCGCGACCCTCGCTCTGAGAAGAACAACAAAAATATATATAACAACAACAACAACAAATACACATGCAGCAGCAAAATCATAAAATAAAACAAAAAATAAATAAAAACCAGAAAGAAAAAACATCTTCAGGTCGCCGAACACCAAATACCCTTCTGCACATATTTTTTTTAATTTTTTTTAACAATATTTATATTTAAAATCTGCCTGCTCTTTGGAAAATTATTAAATTTTGTTGATAAAACGTTGACAATTATTAATTACGTGTATCTTTATGTCTGTTTAGTGTAGGGGGTCGGAAGGGGGGGGGGGGGGGGGGGGAGAGTTAAGCACATATAACAACTACTTTTTTATATATTGTTAATCTTTGTAACCGATTGATCCTGCACTAGATATCTAGCTATTATAGCTATTTGATGTTCTTCTTAAGCTCCTTTTTTAGGTGCAAAAGTGAAGCGATACACAAATTAGTTCGATCTTCGACATATGCCTACATTCAGGATTAACTTCAATCAGACCGACATTACCATATCCTCTACTCTTGCTAAACAATATGGAGTATTCATTTATCAAAACAAAAACTCAATTTTTGATTCCTCACAATCTATTCAACCTATTGATCCCGTCGTAGATAATATATCTATTGGATGCATAGTGAAGCGTTTCATACACAAATTGGTTCGATCCGTTCGGATCGTAAAAATACGGATCTATGCCTAGTTGCCAGACTGACTTCAAACAGACCGACATTCCCATATCCTCTTCTCCTGGTGCTCAATCTAGAGTATTCAGGCTCGAAGATCAGCTCATTTCATGCGCTGCACATTTCGTCTATAAATTTAAATACCCTTGGCAAGTGTATACATATAAAAAACAAAAAAGTAAATAAAAATGGAAAATACACGCTGGCGTTCAAAAGGGCACGCTTTTCATAATAAACATTAGCGCGGCGACAGAGCGACAGACTGTCAGACTGTCTGTCAGTCGGACGGACGGACGGACGGACGGAGCGATCTGTGCGACCCGCCTGCCTCCTACTCCTCCCACTCCTCCTCCTCCTACTCTTGGTCTGTTGTAGTTCGCCCTCCCTCCGTCTCCTTTCTGTTTCTCATGGTTCGCTGGCGTCCGTTCTGCAGTTTTGTTTGTTTGTTTGTGAATTGGTCGTCTTTAGTTACACTTGAATACGTTTTGTGTGTCCGACTCTTTCTGTTAGTGTGTGTGTAAGTGTGTGTGTGTGTGTTGGTGTGTGTGTGTGTGGGTTATGGCAGTTGCCCGGCACTCGCTCGCATTCACACTGCACTTCACCTACTTCGCTTGCACTTTGGCGTGCGCTTAAAAATAGAATTGCATACTTAGCGGCGCAGGAAGCGGCCGCTGTCAACGGCTTTGAACCCCCTCCCCCTCCCCCCTCCAACGCTCCACACTCAGAGAAAAATTAGCTTATAATTTCAAGTTTCGAAGGAATTGAAATTATGTGTTCTTAATAACAAAAACATCTTGCAACAAAAGACTTCAATTAAGTATAAAATACTTTGAATAAGAAGATGCCTACAAAACATTTCGTTCTTCAACTAGATTTTGACATTGACAAAACAAATGTTAAAAAATTTTAAAAAAAAAGTACTTTAATTAAGTATAAAATACTTTGAATAAGAAGATGCCTGCTTGAAATTAGCGCTAAGGTGCTCAATGATAGTGCAACATTTCTTAGATTAAGTGTTGTTTTTGAGGTCTTAAAATATGTCTTGAATTATGATTTCTGATATCAAGTGTGAAGGAAGAGAATCCAATTGTTCTTCAAATTTTCAAAACATTTCGTTCTTCATTCTTTAATTAAATATGAATTAAACAAGTTTTCAAAATTGACAAAACAAATAACTTCAATTAACTATAAAATACTTTGAGCAAAGAGAGGCCTACTTAAAGTTAGGATCTTAGACTCAGTTTTGTTTTTGAGGTCTTCAAATATTTCTTGAATTATGAGTTTCGCGCTTAGTTTAATCAACTTGGGACTTGGCTTTTGATATTTGTGCAATGTTTTTCGCCGAGTGCACAGCCCGGCTGCCTTTTGTCTTGGCCACAAAACTTGCTGTCCAAGTCCAGGCTGGGGCGTCTTATTATAGCTAAGCATGTCGGCTACTTACGCGTTGTTTTTGTCTTTGTTGTTGTTGTTGTTGCTATTTGTTGTCTGCTGCAGTGCGGGGCAGCGTTGGGCGTGGATGTCAGCAGCGGCTGCTTATGAGTAAACATGTATCCAGTTACAATGTTGTATGCAAGTGTCCTGCGTATCCTTTTTGAAAGGCCTGCCCGAATTGTCCCTCTCTCGCTGAGCGTAAGTGTGTGTGTTTGCTTGGGACATCTGTAACCTTATCGCCGCCTATACACTTTAGTCTCTTTAGTTTTATATGCTCGTATATTCGTTTTTTTGTGTTTTTTTGTTTGCGCTGCGTATCCTGCTTCAATATTTCATAGTTGCCGCCAGCTGGCTATGTGTGTGCGTGTTTATACACATACACATTTATCTATATACATATTATGCATTAAATTGAACACTTCACATAGTTGTTGCCACACACACACACACACACTCGAACAACGCGCGCACGCACACCGTTTCAAATATCCTGCTGGTGCTCTCACAATATCAACATGATAACGGCAACAACAACAACAGCTCAGCAGTGCGCGGCATTGTTATTGTTATTGTTATTGCTGTCGTTGCTGTCGGCAGCGTGCACACACACACACACACACACACGTACGCACGCACAGTTACGGCGCGTATTTGGTTCCCGCATAAAACTCTTCGATCTCTTCACGTTTTCGATCGCACGTTCTTTTTCTTTCGCTATTTGGCGCGTCGCTGCGTCCGTTTGCTTTGACGTTACGAATCGGAATGAAGTTGGGCTGCTCACTTGTGGCACACCGACAGCAGCAGCAGCCACCACAACGCGTAACGCGCGCACTCTCTCGCGCTCTCGTGCGCTCTCTTTACGTAGCGCTCTCAGCGCTCAGACGTGCAGTTGGCGCAGGCAGCGGCAGCGCCAGCAGCAGCAGCAGCATCCCCAGTAGCAGCAGCACGTTCCGTTGTTGTTGTTATTCTTGTTGGAGCTGGCATATGTGCAGGAAGTGGAAGTGGGGAGGAGCACACGCAGCGCTGTTGCCGTTGCTCTCCCATCGCACTCTTTGGCATTGCTATTTTGTATCTTCGGTTTATTTTTTTTTAGCCTGCTTTCCTGTTTCTCCCTATGATTCTAATTTTACACACGAAATTCCAGAGATGCTTTCATATTTTCGTTTGATGATTTATTGACTGCAGCGGCAATTAAAGGCCTTTTATTTCACTTTTTATCAACTGCATTTCATTGACATTGACGACGAGGGCGCTGCTGCTTGTGTGTTTTATTTATATTTTTGTTGTGCGCGCACCCACAAACACACACACACACACACGCGCACGCACACGCACACCTACAGCAGGAGACTTTTTGTCTGCCTTTTCACTTTTGGCTTTAACAACTTAGTTAGCGGCTTTCAGTTTGTCCAAAAAGTTGACGTTTACTTTGCGAATTGTTATTAATATTCTTTAAATTATTTAATAAAGTTTTTTTATTATGTTTAACACGTTTTTTTTTGCTGTTGTTCAAGGAGCGCATTCCAATGCCATCCGTCAGCAGCAGCGACTCCAATCAGAACCTGCTCCTGAAGTTTGCAGCATCCAACTGATACGACACAGAGCCTGCACAGCGTCATCTAGCGGCTGGGCTGGCCAAATACTGTGTCATAGCTGATAGCTTTTAGTGCTTAGCGTTGCGATATGTCGATATGTTTTGTGGCGGTGGTCGATATAGTCGTCAAGTGAGTAAATTTAGTGTAGGCACATTTCGTTAGGTGTGGCCGGTCGTTGAGTACGTAACTTTCGTTAATTTAGTAAGGATTTCTACTAGACTGTAGCGCGGACAACAACCGCATGCAGTGCTTTTCAAATGTTAAAACGCACTCTCAAACTTTAACATTTGGGATACATTTTCGAGCTAATTTAGAAGAACAAAATGGCTGACAAATTTAACAGGGTGAACGGGATTTCTGATCGTTAAATTAATTAATTATAAGAAATTGCATTTTTACTACCCTATTTTATCTGAGTTATTTTTATTTTTTTTTTAATTTCGAAGCCCTTTAATAAGGGAGAGAATATTTTTTCCACCTATTTTCCGACTTTCCGCATGGGTGAAATACGTATTTTTTCGTTTTTTTATTGAGAATTTTCAAAATTGGTTTGCAAATTGAACTTTTATTTCCCGACCTTTTAAAATCCATTTTTCACTAATTGGCGTGGATTTGCCGAAAAGTGTGAAATATCTCTCAAACTGAGGTTAAAAAAATATTTTTAATAAAAATGCCTAAAATTTCATCTATCATCAATCTGGAGGCCCTTCCTTAATCCCGGAATAATTCACAATAAAAAGTCACAAGCAAATTTAACATCCAAGACAGAAAAAACACATTTTTCGTATATTTGATTTAAATTACATAAAAACTTAAGCCACAAAATTAACTAGTTCTTATACATGTCGCAGAGGACCTTCTCCATGGGCGTGTTGCCGATCGTGCGCTGAAAGAAGATCGACTCGATCTTATGCGAGCTGATCATCCGCAGAAGCGGCAGCATCAGCAAGAGTCGCCCGAAGCGTGCAATCTGCGCCGTGAACTGCGTCTTCGTGTGCTGCGAGAGCATCACCTGGCCAAAAAGAGGGGAACATCCATTAATATGGAATAAAAGAGAGGAGTCTCGCTTGGTTCTCACATGCGCCTGATCCTGCAGGTTCTCGATTTGGGCGGGATCCTTGAGGCCGCGCGTTTCGGGCCGGAAGAGCACAATCGCCTTGAGGCACGCAAATTCCGCCGGATCCACGAGCACGGCCTTGTACTTGCAGAAGATCTCGTGCAGCGTGCGCACATCCGCCGCCAGCTGTGGGAATAGCTCTGCCTATTACAGATGAATCTACCGTATCCCCCCCCTTCCCCTACTTACCTCCTCCTTGCTGACGCAGCTGTCGCTGCCATTGCCATTATTCTCCAGATTGTTGCAGTGCTCGGCGACGGAGAAGAGCGCACAGCCCGTGGGATCCAAGGGTATGCACCATTGTATGGCATTCAGGAGAAACAGCTCCGACCACGACTCCTCCAGCAGGATGACCTGATCCCGAAACGAGAGCCGCGCAAAGCTGGGCAAATTCTTGGCCCACTTGACGGCCATGAAGAGCAGCCGTGCGCTTGTCTCATAAACCGTTTCGTGCTGATGCGCATACAGATTGGGCGACATAAATTGCGGCATTATAAAACTGGAGTCCGATCTGCTGCCCGTATTCGCATGCGGCTCCTCGTCGTTGGTCACGTCAATCGAATCGTCTGCGAAGTGAGGAGAAGATTAGATGGAGATCTAAGGATCCTTTTCCGGCTTACCATCATTGTCATTCTCCGGCGTCGGGCTGGCGGAGCTAATCGAGGAGACGCTGCCGCCGGCATTGTTCTTCTCCGGCGCCGGCGAGCTCGGATCTATGCTATGATTGCTGCTCGAATTGGTCGAATGGGAGACATTCCCGCTGCCATAGACCGTCTTCTCCTTGGGCGAATGATGCAGTCCGCCGGCGGAGGCGGCGGCGGCGGCGGCGGCGGCATTGAACATGGGAAATCCGCTCGCATGGCTCATATGATTCGTGGCCAGCTGCATGGACGAGCTGAGATGATTGTGGTGCAGCAGGCGTCCCGTTGGCAAACTGCCCAAAGCTGCAAATGAAAATCTCATCAGTTCTCGTTGTTTTTCCTTTCTCACACAAGTTGGACTTACAGGGCGGCGGCAGCAGGCCGGAGCCGTAGCAGGGCGGCGAGAGTAGCACGGGAGGTCTGCAAATTGGAGAACGTCTGAGCTATGCAAATGACAGGCAAAGGGGAGGGGTAGGGTAAGGGGAAGGGTAAGGGGGACTCACCCGAAAACACCGACGGCTACGGCGGCCTCGCGCAGCGCTCGCCCGTGCTCCATATCCCGCAGCGTCTCCGGCCGTATAGTGGCCGTGTTGCGTGGCTGTCGCTCATTTTGCACCGCTGTAATTGGACAAACAAAATGCCGAAAAGCCGCACATAACTAAATCTTCTTCTCTCACAATCGTAATGAGCAAATGTCACAGTCGCAAAATTGCTTAACGCCTCGCCTCGTCTCTACATTTTGCCAGCCACGTAATGTGGCAACACTGTCCGCGCGTGCCGTCCTCTCTCTGCGCTTCTCACTCGCTGCAACGCCCCAGCCACGCCCCCCGCCCCTGCAACGCCCAACCTGCGGGCGTTCATGGTAAATTGGTTTTGTGGTCACGTGCCGCTCACGCCCACAAATTGTTTTCCCATTTGTTTATGCAATTTTACCGCGACAAACTCAATGGGATTGTCAGCCGCCCCCCTCCTCCCCTCCCCTCCCCTCCCCTCCCCCGCCTTTGTGGTAACTGTTGGCATTTTGCATATGCCTAGCATAATTTATGCTTCAATTATGCCCAGCCATAATGAAGTGCGGCTATTGATTGAACAGTTATTAACAAGCGGCTGCGATTGATACGTGCCATGAGAAAGAAGCGCAAACAATAGTTAGATAAGTTGAGGAGTAAGCAAATCAAGGCTTTAATTTGAGGGAGATTCGTTTAAGCAAATAGAGACTAAAGAAAATGGTTTATCAATTTAGAAGTTGCGATTGATAAGTGCCATGAGAAAGAAGCGCAAACAATTGTTAGATAAGTTGAGGTGTAAGCAAATCAAGGCTTTAATTTGAGGGAGATTCGTTGAAGATAATATAAACTTGACAAAAGAGTTTACCAATTTAAAAGTTGCGATTGATACGGCTTAACTTTAGCTTGAAAAGAGCAAAGTAATTCGTCAATCAATCAATCTTTAGCTGCATTATTTTAAATAATTAAATAAATAAATAAAATAGGCCTCAACTAGTCGCTATTTTCCCATTTATTGTTTTTTTTATTTAGTATTTAATTATTCCCCAAATTATTATTTAATACATCACATTATGAAAATTATCTCCATATAAATTTCTCTACTTTATTAATAACTTCTATCTTGCTTTTATTGCATTTTATATTTATTGTATTTTCTTAAATAATATTCTTATGCTTAGCATTTAATTTGCATAATTTGATGTATTAAATAATTAGGAATAGACTCGTTTTGTTCGACCATTAATAAATAAATAAAATACAAAATAAATAAACTTACAATAAGACTATACAAATCAGAAGTTTTGGCATAAATGCGATAGGGCTCAACTTTAGATAAATAAGAAATAATTCATAATCAAAATTAAATTTATGGTGATATCTAGCTAGTCCATCAATCAATCAATCAATCGTTAACTGCATAATTTAAAAAGGAGAATCAAGACATTCTTTTTTTTTCATGTCCACTTTCGACCCATCTGCCCGTCCGTCTATGACTTTCTTTCGATATATCGATAGTTCACCATGCATTCGATAATTATCGATTTGCAGCAACTGTTTTTTAGGCATATCTCGCAGTTTGTTTAAGGGAATCAAGACGGTTCCTCATCTCCATGTCTCCTTTATGTCCATCAGCCCGTCCGTCTATGACTTTCTTTCGATATATCGATAGTTAACCATGCATTCGATAATTATCGATTTGCAGCAACTGTTCTTTGAGCATATCTCGCAGCGTATTCGAGTTAAAGCCATACAACTCGCTTTAACCATAAAATACGTGCACCTGTTTTGCATTACAATTTTATTTTGCTGACGCTTTCAAAATTTTCTGCGAATTTTCCCGACCCCAAAATGTCGCATCTTCAAGGTTAAGCATAAAGACAAAAATAGAATAATCAAGACATAACTCTGACAGCTAGTTAGTAACTCTCCGCTGCATCCATCATATCTATAGATATCTATAAATATGCCCAAAATAAATGCTGCTGTTTATTCAACTGCTGCGAAGCTGCTTAAACAATCTGTCAAAGACAACGGCAGCAGGTAACAAATCAATTGAGTGAACAATATGTAAATAAAGTGCACCCCCAACCCCGACAACCCGCAACCCGCAACCCGCAATTCTCGAACCGCGTCACCCGCTTTTGGGAGTTGAACGAGCAACCCCCAAAAACGAAGACCTTTCCAAATATTATGGCTGTTCATTCGCTGCTGTTCGGTCGCGCGTGGGAAAGGGTTAACGGGGGGAGGTAAACTCTATTAGTACAAATAGAGAGATATTTGCATTAGACGCGCTATGCACGTGTCGCCAGGTTTTTGAGGTCATGTTAAAGAGCAATTAAATGTGCTTCAGTTCATTAGAGCGCTCGCCAGATTATGCCTACCGCTCAGTTGGACTTAATACTAGTGTGTTTATAGGGTATATATCCATAAACAACTATTAATTTACACTGATTGATTGACTGACTGATTGACGATGTGTGCACAGCCCAAAATGTAAGCGCTAGGCAGCTGAAATTGTTCACAGTAGTCGCTTCTTTTCATTTCTCATCCAAGCAACAAGTGTTTATAGGGTATATCCATAAATACTCTATTTATTTAGACTGATTGATTGATGTAATGTGGAAAATGATGATGAAACATTGATTGTTTCTCATCCAATCAACTAGTGTGTTTTTTAGGTATATTATAGAGTATATCCATAAAAAACTATTCATTTACACTGATTGATTGACTGACTGATTGACGATGTGTGCACAGCCCAAAATGTAAGCGCTAGGCAACTGAAATTATTCACAGTAGTCGCTTCTTTTCATTTCTCATCCAAGCAACTAGCTTGTTTATAGGGTATATCCATAAATAACTATTTATTTAGACTGATTGATTGATGTAAGGTGGAAAATGATGATGTTGAGATGAAAAATTAGTGAAAAGCGGTTGCCTGAAACTTTGATTGTATCTCATCCAAGCAACTAGTGTGTTTATCGGGTATATTATAGAGTATATCCATAAATAACTATTGATTTACACTGATTGATTGACTGTCTGATTGACGATGTGCGCACAGCCCAAAATGTAAGTGCTAGGCAGCTGAAATTGTTCACAGTAGTCGCTTATTGTGTAGCAAGACGGGATTTTTTAAGCATTCCACCTGCTAGTGTTGAAAATTGGTGTAATCTGTTATATGAAACTTTGATTGACTGTCAGCCTAGAGTGTGATTATAGGGTATATCCATAAAAAACTATTTTTTTGCACTGAATGATTGACCCTTAGCTGAAATCATTCAGAGCTAGTCATTGTACCTTCAAGCTTATAGGGTATATCCATAAATAACTATTGATTTACACTGATTGATTGATGTAATTCCACCTGCTATTGTGGAAAATTAGTGAAAAGCTGTTGCATAAAACTTTGATTGAGTCTCAGCCAAACACAAGTGTATATACCCTAGTATATCCATAAATAATAATTTATTTGCACTGAATGATTGACTGAGTGATTGATTGACTGACTGATTGACATAATTTTTTGATTGAGTCTCAGCCAAACACAAGTGTTTTTATAGGGTAAATCCATAAACAACTATTTATTTGCACTGAATGATTGACTGATTGATTGACTGACTGATTGACGATCTGCACAAACTCTTAGCGGAAATCATTCAGAGCTAAACTTTGTTCTTTCAAGCTCTAAAGCTTTAATCTTACAACTTTATCTGGATATGGAAAACATGCTGAACATTGAACAAGCTCCATATACTCTTTGAGAATATAATAAATCAGGATTGACACTTGTTTGCTTGGAAATACAGGTCAATAGTTGGCTTAGTCTTCAACATTTTGTTTAGAAAAAATTTCAAAAAAAAAATCTTCGACACTTAACAGGAAAATGAATTTTAACGAATTTGATGACGTGATGGAGCAGATCGGTAAATAGAAATAATTTAATTAGATACGAAATATGAATGAAATGATGAAAAAATTGTCAGGTTTTGGGAAAGTGCATTGTTATGTGATGCTCACGTTGGGCCTGCTGCAAATGTTGACCATACACGAGACAATGGGAATGGGCATAATTGCGCCGTCTGCGGTCTGCGATCTGCGCATGAGCCTTGTCCAGTTGTCGACAATTACGGCGGCGGCATTTCTGGGCATTATCTGCTCCTCGTATTTCTGGGGCTACATTACGGACAAGATGGGGCGTCGCTGGATATTGCTGCACACGATCTCGATTAGCAATCTGTGTTCCATAATATCCATGTTTATGGTCAGCTTTACGAGCTTCTTTGTGATGCGCTTCCTTACGGGCATCTTGTGAGTAGCCTTTCGCCTAACTCTTCTTTGATGCCTTTTACTAATTTCTCCTTGAAGCGTTGCCGGTCCGAGCTTCGTGGCCGTCACGTACCTGAGCGAGTTTTGCAACAAGAAAATTCTGGCCCGCACTGTCACGCACATGTACATGTTCACCGGCTTCGCCATGTTCTATTGCCCCTCGTGGGCTACTTTGTTTCTCTCGTCGAGTTTCATGGACTTTGAAATCGGTTTCGTTGGCCGACTGACCTTTCGTCCCTGGCGTCTGCTCGGCTGCATGTTTATGCTGCCCGGCGTAGTCGCGTTCGTTCTGCTCCTACGCATGCCGGAGAGTCCAAAGTTTCTGTTTATGATCGGCGAGACAAAGCAGGGCATAGCTGTCATGGATTGGATCAGTACGAAGAATACGGGACGTCCGCTCAGTGCCGAGCAGGTGGAACTGATGCTCAAGTTCCAGGAATCGACAGGTGTCGTACGACAAAAGCGCTCGAATAACTTTCTGCAGCAAATGATGATCGATGCGATGCCCCTGTTTCGCAAGCCCTATGTTGGCTTCTATGTGGGCAGCTGTTCCGTCATGTTTAGCCTCGGTTTGGTGTACATTTTCCCCGCATATTTCACACTCTAACGTGGTTTAATTTACGATTTTCTTCAGTGCGAATGGCTTTGGTATGTGGTACACGGCAATGCGAAATCGTTCCAATATGCGACTCGACGATAAGACTGATATGACATTTTGTAAAATACTTTTCAACACGGCGCCCTCCATTCTCGAAGAGAGCGAGCCGGATCTGATTGTCGTAAGTCTCCCCCTCTCTCTCTCACACACTCTCTCTCTCTCCGTCTCTCTCTTGCCCGCAGCCATGCAACGACGGCTTCATGGGCTTCAACGACTCGCTCATATTGGGCGCTACCTATATCATTCTGTACAACATTTGCTGGCTGATGCTTTTCTTTTTGCCACGCAAGGCCTTGTTCATTGCCGCTTTGGTCATCTCCTCATCCTGCGGCTTTGCTTTGATCTTTGTCACCGGCCGTTGGTTGCAGCTGTTTGCCTTCGATCTGTTTATCGCTTTGCCGGGCGTCGTCATCAGTTTGTTGGGCGGCGCACTGCTCCAGTTTGTGCCCACCTATCTGCGGGCCAAGGCCCTGTGCATCAGCTTAATGTGGTGTCGCTGGGGCGCCGTGGTCGGCACAACAATCGTTGGCATCTACATTGAGAAGAGCTGCGAGATGACCATTCTGGTGGTTGCCATCTTCCCGATGCGTACGCTACTCTCTCTCTCTCTCATTAATATTCATTTTGATATTAATTCTGATCTCATTTCAGTTTCGGCAAGCATCGAGGGCTTTTTACCTCTCTAGTTGGACAAAACATCTAAATTATGGTTTTTATATTTAAATTGCTTGGATTTTTTAGTAAATAAAGGCTGGGCAAACCCAAAGGCTCGACAAGGCCTGAAGTCTGAGAGTCTGAAGACGATAATCGCCACACTTTGTTGTTTTAAAAATGTTAATTGAAATAAATCAGCACAAACACAAAATTCATATTTGTTGTTAAACAAAGACTAGCGCCTATTTTTACAATTCCACCTACTAGTGTGGAAAATTGGTGAGAAATTGTTGTACGGAACTTGCGATTGTTTCCATTTATAAATAAATAGTCGTATACTGTGATAGATAGTGAGGTTTTTTGCAATTTCACCTACTAGTGTGGAAAATTAGTGAAAAACTGTTGTATGGAACTTGGATTGTTTCTCACCCAAGTAACAAGTGATTGATTGATTGATGATCTAATCTAACTGTTAGCTGAAATCACTCATATTTGAAAATTCCACCTGCTAAAGTGGAAAAGCTGTTGTAAGAAACTTTGTTTATTTCTTATCCATGCAACAAGAGTGTTCATAGATATATCCATAAATAATTATTTATTTGCACTGATTGATTGACTGACGGATTGATGATCGGCTTAAACTCTTAGCTGAAATCATTCACAGTAGTCGTCTATTGTGATGTAAGTGAGAGTTTTTGCAATTCCATCTACTAGTGTGGAAAATTGTGAAAAACTGTTTAAATATTTATTTCAACTGATTGATTGAATGCCTGATTGATGGGATTCCACCCGCTAAAGTGGAAAATTTCTGAAAAGCTGTTTGACGAAACTTTGATTGTGTCTCAGCCAAACAATCCCAAACCCATTTTTATAGATCTTTACACTTTTTGGGAAATCCAGCATTCCGGGTGGAAAATGTTTTTACAAGGTTGGGTAAAGTACAAAGAGTAGACTTTGGCCGGGCAAAGCCGGCTAATGCTGCCCACTAAATACAATTTATACATACCATCCTTGTTCATTCCCATTTGAAGGCACTTCTTGAGCCTGCAGGCCTGGCATTGATTCCGATGCGCCTTGTCCACAATACAACGTCCGGTGCCCGCCTGGCAGCTGCAATCAAAAGAACATTTTTATATATATTTGTGCCAAGTTGAATTTAACCCCTCGATAATTAAGTTACCAGATTTGTCGTGTCAAAAATTGCAACATTTGTGAACATTTGCGGCAGCGGCAAGCGAAGCGTAAGGCCACGAAAAAAGCACTCGAGTATCTACAGCTTATATGCGGAAACGTATCTCAACAGCTGAGCGCATCTATTGGGCCTTTGTTCTCCTTTGGCACTTGTGGCATTTTAATCAAATCACGTTGTCTGTCTGCCTCTGACTGAATCATTGCCCATCCCCCTCACAATCCCCTCCCTCTTGCTAAGCCGCTGCCACTTGAGCTTAGTCAGCCTAGTCGTCATCGTTCTGCATCTCTGTCGCGCACACGCTCGGCCTTTTGTGCGCTGCATCTCTGTCGCACTCTAAGCCTGTGCCAAAACTCAAAGCACAAAATGGCAAAGGTTCTTTGGGCTGTGAGGCGTCTTCTGGCTGCCGCTTCCCTCCCTTTCCCTTCCCTCCGCCCCAACGAGTTCCACTCGCTCCCTCGCATTTTATGTGTTTTGTGGCGCCGCAGCTGAAGTTTGACTAACTAACAAAGCACTTAGCTAAATGTATCTTTCAGATACACACAGTCCACCCAACTCTACGTGTGTGTGTGTGTGTGCGGGCACTATTTGTGTATCTAATATGCAAATTCTTTGCTTTCGAAAACAAATCACGTAGATTGAAAGCGGAGCTGTGTGCTGCTTTTTATATAAATAAATCTATTATCACTTCGTTTTTTTTTTTGGCTTAAAATAATAAAGTCCAATAAGAATGATGTACATCAAATTTATGCACAATCTTTAGCCGATCTCCAAGCGGACATGGAACCAAATTTTAAATTCCTTTTTGTGAAAACTAGCCTGATTTTGATGAGGAACTTCTTGTTGTCTAACGTCTATTTTAATTATAATTTTTAAATATTTAAAATATTATAAAATTTAAAAAAAATTATATTAATAATTATATAGTTATTATATTATTAATACATTGAATATAAGTATTATAATTTTTATTTAATTATTAATTCTGCATATAAAAAAAATTATATGAATAATTATATAGTTATATAATTAATATATTAAATATAATATAATTATTATCAAATTATTAATTCTGCACTTAAATCTGTTTACACCATTTTTGATCCCAATTCCAGTTAAATTTCCATTCAAAATGAACAAAAATTTCCAAAAAAAAAAAACATGGCTCACATTTTGAACAAAGTTTGTTCCCAAGATTGATTATTATATTATTATTTTGTATTTTTGATAATTTGCTAAGGAAATGCGCTTTTTTTTGGAAATGAGTTAGGATTTTTAAATGGCAAAATAAAGAGATTTCTAATGGGAGTTTTTTTTTGGAAATCCAAACCAAAATTAAAGAGTTTAGCAAAAAATCTTCCCTTATTGCTTCCTTTCTTTCTTCGCTTTCATTGAAAGCAAAATAAATCAAAATAAATCTTTGAGTAGAATCATGTTGGAATATATATGAAACCTGCGCTCTGGGAACGAGCTCAGGCTGTAAAGGAGTCCAGAAGGAGTCCAAATATGAACTATTTAACTATTTAACTATTTATGGGCGCAAGTGTAAACTTTTACGCCCCGTCGCAGCGTTACGTGACAAGCGCTTACGACTAGAAAAGTTGGAATTGATTTCAATTGATAAGTTTTCGAATTGTTCCACATGCATTATTCACAATTTACACAACTAATCACGACATTTGGCTGCAACTATAAAAGGCGTCAATTGGGCAGGCTTTGTTTTATTTCCCAATTGAAAGCAGCTCCTGCAGCATGTCTTTGCGTAAAGTCTTTCCGACCATATACACGCTGCCGGACACGGCGCCAGCTCAGTCGAGGAATGTCACGCTCTATTTGCTGCGCGTCATTTTCCTAATGGGCATAAGGACGCCGCCTAAAGGATACCTTTTTTTCGTCTACATCCTGTGGTCTTTTGTGCTCAATCTGTGCTCCACTTTCTATCAGCCCATCGGCTTTATGACGGGCCTCATCTCCCATCTCGCGGAGATGTCGCCTGGTGAGTTTCTCACCTCGCTGCAGGTGGCCGTCAACGCCGTTAGCTGTTCCATCAAGGTGATTATTGTCTGGGCACTGGTCAAGCGCTTCGATCAGGCCAACCGCATCTTGGACGAGATGGACAAGCACGTACTGCAGCCCAGCGAGCGCAGCAAGGTGCATCGCGCGGTGTCTATCAGCAATCGCATCTTCCTCAGCTACATGACCGTCTACATGTTCTGTGTGACGTGCCTTTTCCTGAGCGGCCTGGTCATGGGCGTGCCCATGTTCCAGAACTATTATCCCGGCCTGAACTGGCGTGCCGGACGGCTTGAGTTCTGGGTTCAATCATTGCTGGAGTACCTTTCCTTGTTGGGCGCTTCCGTTCAGAATGTCTGCATGGATTGTTATCCCATTAACTATGTGCTCATATTGCGTGCCCATCTGGCCAACTTTAAGGAGAGGCTGCGGAAACTCGGCAAGGATGCGGATGAGACACCGGAGGAGCGCTACGAGAAGCTCGTCGAGTGCATTCAGGCCCACAAGGTTATGCTACGGTGGGACTTGACTTTGATTAACTGAAGATGTTTCTTGTACATGGATGGATTTGTTTTCCAGCTGCTGCGATACTCTGCGTCCCGTGATCTCGGGCACAATCTTTGTCCAGCTTCTGGTTGTGGGTCTCGTGCTGGGCTTCACTCTTATCAATATTGTGCTTTTTGCCAACTTCGGGTCCCGCATTGCGGCTCTCACTTTCTTGACAGCTGTGCTACTGGAGACAACGCCCTTTTGCATACTCTGTAACTATTTGGCGGACGACTGCCTAAAGCTGGCGGATGCTCTGTTCGAGTCGAATTGGATCTACCAGGATCAGCGCTACAAGAAAGCCTTGCTTCAGTTCTTGCAGAGGCTGCAGAAGCCAATTGTTTTCATGGCCGGCAATATTTTCAGCATTTCCGTCGCCACCAATCTGACTGTGAGTCTCAGAGCGAGAGAGAGAGAGAGAGAGAGAGATAGAGAGATCTTTAGATGCAATACTTCATATTGTATATCTTTTGGCTGCATATGAAATCTTTTTGATCTACTGAATATTTGTCAGATCTGAAGCTTTTAATTAATTAATTATTGAAATCTTGCAGGCTACCAAATTTTCCTTCTCCGTTTTTACGCTGGTTAAACAAATGAATATTGCTGAGAGATTCGCCAGGCCAAAAGAAGTCGAATAAAATTGATCAATTAAATAATTGTCAGAGTTTTTAATCTAAACAAATTGTATTTAATTTAACACATTATAAAGGGGTTTGCTTTAAAAATCAAAATCTTACTACAACCAAAAAACTGGTTAGCTTTAGATTCTTCAGATGCTAGAAGCATACTGAGCTAAGCTTGGCTAAAATGTCTTGAAAATCAAAAAAGAGCTTTCAAAACCAAGTAAGAGTTCTGAAGTCTCGACTAGGATCTCTTCTCTGTATCTCAGCCTGCGGAAAATGCATTCTTGAATAACTTTTGCGTTTATTCGATCCACAAATGTGTCTAAATACCCAAGCTCAAGACTGCGCCTCCTAAAATGGAGTTTCTTCCGTAAAACACAGAAGATGTTTCCTAATCTTTCAAAAAGTGATCGCTTCCTTATTGAAATATCGATACATTCCTTCGATTTGTAACGATATATCAATTACATTTAACAGCGTTACATATGCATACTTATCAATTACTTATTTAACAGCAAATTTGTTAGAATTTAAATTCAAATTATTCGAAATCTTCAAATTTAAATTAGTCTAAATCTTCACTTCGATTTTGTGCGATCGGAGGTATATATATAAAGTAAACTATGCTAGATCTGTCTCTACTATAAGATGTTGTATTAACCAAATTTGATGTTGATAGCTTTCGTAGGCTCTCAGATAAGGTAGAAAAGAACGGGCTGTCGATATCGATTTTTATCGATTTTTATCGATTTTTATCGATTTTTATCGATTTTTATCGATTTTTTATAAATGGTCAAGTTATCGATGATTCGAAAAATACTCGACCTTTAAGTTAACTAAGTGGACCAACTTTTATAATGTAAGTCTCTAGCTCTTGTAGTCTCTGAGATCGTCCTATATTAATCGTCGCTTTATTGTGATCAAGAATGGTTATCGAAATAATATTTTTGTTAGAATCAGATATATAACTGGGAACGAGCACAGGCTGCAGTGGGGCACAGATTGTCAATTATTTATGGGAACAAAGTGTAAACTTTTACGCCCCGTCAAACTTGACTTGGAGTAATTGTGATTGCCAGGATTACGACTGGGAAAGCGCAGTCGCGTGTCCTTTTGACTTCAATTTTCGAATTGTTCCACATGTATTATTCACAATTTACACAACTAATCACGACATTTGGTTACAACTATATAAGCGTAAAAAGGCGTCAATTGTTCAGGCTTTGTTTTATTTTCCAATTGAAAGCAGCTCCTGCAGCATGTCTTTGCGTAGAATCTTTCCGAGCATGTACACGCTGCCGGACACGGCGCCAGCTCAGTCGAGGAATGCCACGCTCTATTTGCTGCGCTGCGTTTTTCTAATGGGCATAAGGACGCCGCCTAAAGGATGCCTTTTTTTCGTCTACATTCTGTGGTCCTTGGCGCTTAATCTGTGCTCCACTTTCTATCAGCCCATCGGCTTCATGACGGGCTACATCTCCCATCTCGCGGAGCTATCGCCGAGTGAGTTTCTCGCCTCGCTGCAGGTGGCCTTCAATGTCTGTTCCTGTTCCATTAAGGTGATGATTATGTGGATGCTGGTCAAGCGCTTCGATCAGGCCAATCTCATCTTGGATGAGATGGACAGACGACTGTTGCATCCCTGCGAGCGCAGCAATGTGCATCGCGCGGTCTCTATCAGCAATCGCATCTTCTTCTCCTATATATCCGTCTACTTCATTACTGTGACGAGTACTTTTCTGAGCTCTGTCATCGTCGGCGTGCCCATGTTCCAGAACTATTATCCCGGGCTGGACTGGCGTGCCGGCCAGTTTGAGTTCTGGCTGCAATCAAGTCTGGAATATTTTAGCTTGCTCGCCGCTTGCCTTCAAAATGGCTGCATGGATTGTTATCCCATTAACTATGTGCTCATATTGCGTGCCCAACTGGCCAACTTTAAGGAGAGACTGCGGAATCTTGGCCAGGACACAGATGAGACACCGGAGCAGCGCTACGAGAAGCTGGTCGAGTGCATTCAGGACCACAAGGTTATGCTACGGTGGGACTTGACTTGGATTAACTGAAGATATTTATTGTACATGGATGGATTTGTTTTCCAGCTGCTGCGATACTCTGCGTCCCGTGATCTCGGGCACAATCTTTGTCCAGCTTCTGGTTGTGGGTCTCGTGCTGGGCTTCACTCTTATCAATATTGTGCTTTTTGCCAACTTCGGGTCCCGCATTGCGGCTCTCACTTTCTTGACAGCTGTGCTACTGGAGACAACGCCCTTTTGCATACTCTGTAACTATTTGGCGGACGACTGCCTAAAGCTGGCGGATGCTCTGTTCGAGTCGAATTGGATCTACCAGGATCAGCGCTACAAGAAAGCCTTGCTTCAGTTTCTGCAAAGGCTGCAGAAGCCAATTGTTTTCATGGCCGGCAACTTTTTCAGCATTTCCGTGGCCACCAACCTGAACGTGAGTTTAAATGAGAGATCTGTCAGATCTCATTTATCTTTTGAGCAAAGAGTTCTCTATATTTTGGCTGCATTTTTGATCCACTAAACTTTAAACTAAATAATTTATGCATTTTTTGAATTAAATTGTATTCGTAATTAAAATCTTGCAGGCTACCAAATTTTCATTCTCTGTCTTTACGCTGATCAAACAAATGAATATAGCTGAGAAATTCGCCAGACCAAGCGGAGTCGAAAAAAACTGATTTAAGGAGTTTTTTCGTTTTATGTCAACAAAATAAATTTAACAATTATTACAGAAAAGTAATACTTCTGTATTCGGATGAGATTTGACTGAGTCATGGGATTGGGAAATTTCGACCTACATATGTCTATGTGGGATATTAAAAATTCACATGAATTTTGACTAAAAATAATGTTGCCAGATTTAGATGCAGAATTGATTAAGAGGTCAAACCTTTAACAAAAAGCCAAACCTTGTGAAAATCGGTTAAGTTTTGAGCGAGTTATGGAGGTGGGAAATTTTGGCATATGTAGGATATTTGAGGGTACCATTTTCGCATGAATTTGGACTAAAATTAATGTTGCCAGATTTTGATGCAGAATTGATTTAGAGGTCAAACCATGAACAAAAACCCAAACCTCGGGAAAATCGGATGCGATTTGACCGAGTTATGGGGACGGGAAATTTTGGCCTATGTCTATGTAGGATATTTGAGGGTACCATTTTCACATGAATTTGGACCATAAATAATGTTGCCAGATTTTGATGCAGAATTGACCTAGAAGTCAAACCACGAACAAAAACCCAAACCTCGGGAAAATCGGATGCGATTTGACCGAGTTATGGGGGTGGGAAATTTTGGCCTATGTCTATGTAGGATTTTTGAGGGTACCATTTTCACATGAATTTGGACTAAAAATAATGTTGCCAGATTTTAATGCAGAATTGACCTAGAGGTCAAACCATTAACAAAAAGCCAAACCTCGGGAAAATCGGTTAAGTTTTGACCGAGTTATGGAGGTGGGAAATTTCGACCTATGTCTATATAGGATATTTGAAATTTTCACCATTTTCACATGAATTTGAACCAAAAATAATGTTGCCAGATTTAGATGCATAATTGATTTAGAGGTAAAATCGTGAAGAAAAAGCCAAACCTCGTGAAAATCGGTTAAGTTTTGAGCGAGTTATGGAGGTGGGAAATTTCGACCTATGTCTATATAGGATATTTGAGGGTACCATTTTCACATGAATTTGGACTAAAAATAATGTTGCCAGATTTTGATGCAGAATTGACCTAGAGGTCAAACCATGAACAAAAACCCAAACCTCGGGAAAATCGGTTATGTTTTGACCGAGTTATGGAGGTGGGAAATTTCGACCTATGTCTATATAGGATATTTGAAATTTTCACCATTTTCACATGAATTTGAACCAAAAATAATGTTGCCAGATTTAGATGCAGAATTGATTTAGAGGTAAAATCGTGAAGAAAAAGCCAAACCTCGTGAAAATCGGTTGAGTTTTGAGCGAGTTATGGAGGTGGGAAATTTCGACCTATGTCTATATAGGATATTTGAGAGTACCATTTTCACATGAATTTTGACCAAAAATAATGTTGCCAGATTTTGATGCAGAATTGACCTAGAGGTCAAACCATGAACAAAAACCCAAACCTCGGGAAAATCGGTTATGTTTTGACCGAGTTATGGAGGTGGGAAATTTCGACCTATGTCTATATAGGATATTTGAAATTTTCACCATTTTCACATGAATTTGGACTAAAAATAATGTTGCCAGATTTTGATGCAGAATTGACCTAGAGGTCAAACCATGAACAAAAACCCAAACCTCGGGAAGATCGGTTAATTTTTGACCGAGTTATGGAGGTGGGAAATTTCGACCTATGTCTATATAGGATATTTGAGAGTACCATTTTCACATGAATTTTGACCAAAAATAATGTTGCCAGATTTTGATGCAGAATTGATTTAGAGGTAAAATCGTGAAGAAAAAGCCAAACCTTTTGAAAATCGGTTAAGTTTTGACCGAGTTATGGGGGTGGGAAATTTTGGCCTATGTCTATATAGGATATTTGAGGGTACCATTTTCACATGAATTTGGACTAAAAATAATGTTGTCAGATTTTGATGCAGAATTGATTTAGAGGTCAAACCATGAACAAAAACTCAAACCTCAGGAAAATCGGATGCGATTTGACCGAGTTATGGGGATGGGAAATTTCGACCTATGACTATGTAGGATATTTGAGGGTACCATTTTCACATGAATTTTGACCAAAATTAATGTTGCCAGATTTTGATGCAGAATTGATTAAGAGGTCAAATCGTAAACAAAAAGCCAAACCTCGTGAAAATCGGATGCGATTTGACCGAGTTATGGGGGTGGGAAATTTTGGCCTATGACTATATAGAATACTAGGGCGTATATCCTCGTTCTTCCCGTGGTATGTATAAACTAAATTCTCTCAAATATCTTTGAAAATGAGTTTTAAGTCGATCGGATGGTAAACATAAAAGTTTCATAAAAACATTTTTCTCGATTTTTCCAGACAAGCGAGCGGAATTTCCCGAAACACCATCATAACGTACACCTACATCACAAAGGGTAAGTCCAATGAAAATATCAGATTTCTAGCTGTAGTTGATCACCAATCAGTCAATCACTCAATCAGTCAGTCAGTCAATTAGTCAGTCAGTCAGTCTATCAGTCAGTCTATCAGTCAGTCAGGTCAAACAGTTTTATATATAGAGATGAACTTCATCTATCTTACTTTGTCCTGTTAAGGCACCAAAGTCCGAATCTTTTCCTATCGAGCATGTCCACTTTTAGCAATTTCCATTAATTTCCCACGCAAAGTCGACTCGTACATCAAAAAAGTTTTGATTGAAGGCAATTGATTATAATTGAAATCGCCTTAATGCGGCCACCAGAGAGAGATAAAACATATATACATAGTATAAAATACAGATTCTTCGTCGGGGCGAGACATTGACTTCGCCTGACTATCGAGAAAACATGTCACGTAGCAGGAAAATATACTCGTCCTGGCCCTGCGTCCTGCTACACGTCTCCCCCCCCCCCCCCCTCTCAAACTTTTGCTCTATTTGGCTGAGAGCTTCTGCTGCTTCCTCCTCTTTTTTTTGTTTGTACTCTGCTGCGATTTGGCCTGGGCTTAGCTGCTGCTGTCGTTGGGTTGGGTGGTTTTTTCGTAAGGGTCTACTTTTGGGCGGGGGGGTGTGCTGGTGCGGGGGGTGTGCTGGTGCGGGGGGTGTGCTGGTGCGGCGGTCACATTTGGCCAAGTGTTTTGCGCTTAAGCCCTCGATATCAATCTCAGGGGACCGCAAGGATATAGAGATTTCGACATTTGTGATTTAGCGAGGAAACACAGGCTAAAGGAATATATATGTATAATACACAAAATCATAATTTTATGTTGACTCGCCAAGCAATTTGTCGCCAAAGTTATTTGTGGGCCCAAACTAACGATTAAACGATAATTGAAAATGAAACGGAAACAAAAACAAGTGCCATAAAATAGAAACGCTTTTGGATGGGAATAAAAGAAAATAGGAAGAAGCCAAGTTGTAGGCAAAACTGGCCTCACCAGTTACGCCCACAAAACCAGCTACGCCCCCCTCGAAAACAGGCGAACATTAAATTTAAATCTGCACTTTAAATTCAATTACATTTACGTTCTTTTTTTTTGATGGAAAAAAGTGTGTGCACATGCTGCTCGTTTCGCCGGGCTTTGCCGCTGGGCAAAGTCAACGCATTCAAAAGTTGACGCACCAAATCCCAAAGATTTGAATAATTGTAATAAATTTCGAAACATTTCGTAAGCCGCCAGACAACGAATGCGGCACACAATCCCGCCAAGCCACCCAAACCACCACCGAGCCACTTGCTAAATGGCAGGAGCTGGAGATTTCCCTTCCAGTCATCATTGTTTTTTTTCGACCTACCGATAGATGAGCTTGCGTCGAACGCTGCGCTTGAAGAAGCCGGAGCAGCCATTGCAGGCCAGTATGCCGTAGTGCTTGCCGGAGCTGGTGTCGCCGCACACCACGCAGATGAGGCCCAGATTCTGGCCCTTCAGGCGCGTCAGTCCCGATTGATCCCCCGATGATTGACCGGCGGCGGCGGCGTTGGCAGCGGCAACGGCTGCTTGGTGATTGGAGGCGACAGCTGCTGCCGCGGCGGCAGCAGCCGCAGCCGCGCCGTGATTCCAGCTGAGGAGGCGACTCGGCGTGGAAGCTGGCGGAGGCGCCACCGACTGCGATTCGTGCTGCTGCTGCGACGGCGGCGGTGGCGTATAACAGTGCAGCTCTGCGAGAGAGAGAGAAAAGGATTTGCAATAAAAAATCACTTATGTAGTTCATTTAAATTAAATTGTAATTTGTCAAAAAGATGAGGGGGAGTTGGCAGCAGATCTCCCAGATCCCAGCGCGACGACATTGACGCCCTGTAATCCGCAAAATATATTTACACATACAATTAGGGTGCCATTAGGCCGAAGGACTTTGACTTGGTCCTGTGCCTCACGGGCACAATTGTTTTGCCATCACACCCTAATTTGATTGTGTAGTTTTGCAGATTCCGTTTCCTTGGACGATGCACTTAACCCTCGAACAGCGACCAGTTGTTACACTCGCCACTTGCCAGTGCGCTGGAGCGTTCCCTTCCTTCCATTCCGTTTCGGTTTTCGGGCCTGGCTTTTGTGCCAGCAACTGCGGTCTAATGCCGGCCGGGATTAGCGTCATATGCTTGCATTTCCCTTCGCTCTTTGTTAACTTTTCATGAGCTCGTTGAAATTCACTTTAGCGTAGCCTTGTTGCCAGCCCGCCTGCGGAAAGTGTTAAAGGTCCTCGGCTTGTGTTATGAATTTTTGTGGACATTTTTGGCAGCCTGACTCGCGTCTAATTCAATTTATTTGATTATCTTCAAATTGAATTGGGTTCCGTTGCTGGAGTCAATTTGCGGGTTGGATTTTCCTGCAACTTTTCCCTTTGAACTGCACGGAATTCGGTTCAATACATTTCATTTTTATTTTATGCATATATAACTCATGCATTAGATTTTTTTTTCTCGTGCTCCAATTGGGATTTAATTACCAAGTCGAGGGTCGCGTTGACAAAGGACTAAAGGTCTAATTAATCTGCGACCATTTTTTTTGTCGAGCATTAAGAAAGGCGAAAGCAAAAGAAAAGTGTAAAAAAA